CACACACGCGCCGCCGCACTGCACAACACCGCATTCACCACACATACGGGGCATGGCCATGCCACAAGTCACACCGCGCACCACGAACACACATACCACATTTACGACACAGACGGCGTGCAGCACATATATACGCACACGCACGCTGCACGCACACGCACACGCACACAGCACACGCACACGACAACGACACCGCGCCGCGGCACACACCACACACACACACACACAACACACACACACACACACACACCACACACAACACACACACCATTTACAATACACATACACACACATACAACTGCAGCGTCTCTCGTTGGGGTTCTTCGCCTCACAGCTGAGGCGCGGCAGTGCATTGGCTGTTGTAATAAAATCACAATACACCGCAGCCGCAATGGCTTTGGTGTCGTTGCGGTGGCGCGTTGCCGGTGGGCGTGCGTGGTGGCCGTGACGTGCGTTTAGTGTGCTGTTAGTGAAGGCCCCACCTAATTAAAATGCTTATTTCATTATACCTTTACCATCTACCATTTCAGTATAGCGTATATTAATCATAAAACCCGCCTGAGAAAACACATTAATATTTTAACACAATTTCGCAAAATGTTATGGCATGTATAGTGTGTATGTGTGTGCTCTTTAGACAATCGAAACGGTGTCTAACAAAATGTGAGAGCATTTGGATGCCGGGTACAGCGGGGCCACGGTTACACCTCCCGTATGTCAAATGTTGGCCACACACGCGCGCACGCGCGCCACCACCCGCATTCACACACCATACAGGCCATGCGCACGCACACTCAGCACGCGCACCCATACCACATTTACACACACACGGGCGGCAGCACCTACACGCCACACCGCAACAGCGCACACATACACGCACACGCACACATACATAACATACATACCATACATACATCATACCCATAATACATACTACATACATCCCCCCCTACATACATACATCACATACACTACATACATACATACATACATACATACATACATTACATACATTACATACATACATACATCCATACATAATCATGCATACAATAACATACATACCATACATACATACAACCATACATCATACATACATACATACACACTTACACACACTACACACATACACACATCACACACACACACACACACACACACACACACACACACTGTCACACACCACACCACACACACACACACACACACACACACACACACCCACACACACACACCACACACACACACACACACACACCACACACACACACAACCACATACATACATACATACCCTACATACATGTACAACAACGCGCGCGCACACACCGTTATACACGTTGCCGGTAGCAGGTGAATTCACAATGCTGTGATTGGACTCGCGCACCGCGGATTTGGGCGATCTTAATTTGGTGCGGGTTTGCGCCATTGCAATGCCGAGTTTCTTACCTGAAAAAGTCACTTTATCATCGAAAAATCGGCGCTTCTAACGACATAGCGGAATGTATTCGGGACGTCCAGTAGGCGGCCCCAGCTCGATTCGCGCGAGCACACCGCCGAGCAGGTTCGGAGGAGATACGGAAACGGCACTTCGGCTCTTTCTACTATTATAGGAGTGACACTCTAACATTTGAATATAATATATCGTGGTCAGGAGAATCTGGAGATTCTAATTTTGCCTTATTAAGGCCATATGAGTAGAGAAGCAGAGTATAGGATGGGCGAGGGTGGATCGATGAGGTGGAAGAGCGGACGGGGGCAGAGGCGAAAGGTTAGGATGACGGAGGAGGAGGGAATAAGAAGAATGGCCAGTCACCGTACTCAGGGAGAGGCAGCAGGAGGAGTGTAAGAGGAGGAAAAAGAAGTGCAGCGTAGATGTAACATGGTAGGAGGGCAGGGGAAGAATTAAAGTGACGAGACGAGCTATTGGAGAAGGAGGTAGATGAGGAAGGAGGAGAGGGGTAGCTAGAGGGAGGAGGAGGAAGGCGGTACTATAGCTAGAGGGCGGAAGGAGTATGGGAGAGCGGTGAGATCATGCATACGTTGGTTTAAGGGCGAGATATAGAGGAGGAGGGATAGAGGCGGAGCAGGAGCATGCGCAGAGCGGCCCGAAAGAGGGGTAATCGTAGCTATAGTCGATTTTCAAATACTCTGGTGTAATCTCTTCCACCGTATGGTGCTGCCACCTAGGCCAGGTGTTTTAGAGAGTTGTGATCCGCCATGTTTGTCATCACAGTAATAAACGATAGTCTGTTCCTGAAATCCCTTTGTCAGTTGTACAACCATTGGTAAAGCATTCATAACTGGCGCGAGGATTAAGCTGAATGTCAGCTGCCAAACTCTGGCAGAAAAGGAGGTTAATACGACGCATTCTAGCTGTACAAACTCGCGACTTTATTCCGCAACATGTGGACCGCTCAATCGCCCACCAATCGTGTGTACATCTCGCTGACTACACACCGCAGGTCAACAACAGGCACAACTACTGTACGACCGGACTCGACAAGTAGGCCAGCACCCTCATCTACTACGCAAATAATGTCTCTCCCAACATTCCCGGCATTTCAAGTGCACCTAGATGGTAACATAGGGCCACGTTGGAAAAAATGGCTCGATCGGTTTGATCGCCTTCTCATCGCTATGGATATCAACGATCCAAACAGACGCCAAGCATTACTACTACACTATGCTGGACCGGAAGTTGATGAGATTTATGACACCCTCACTGTGGCAACCCTACTGACACTGAACTGTGTACTCTGTTTGCTAAGGATGCTCTTACCAAGTATTTCTCTCCACGCACCAACACTGCTTTCGAAATATACAATTTCAGACAGTGTGGACAGAAATCAAATGAAAGCATTGATTTTTACATCACTCGCCTACGACAGCTCGCAAAGACATGTGAATTCAGCAACGCAGAGGCTGAAATAAAGAATCAAATAATCCTGGCATGTTCTTCTCAGGGTCTTAGACGTCGAGCCTTACAACAAGATTATACCTTGACAACTGATTGCCGCGCACGTTCTATGGAGCTAAGTGAAGACAAGCCAACCCAAGTGGAAGCTCCAGTGCTACAAATACTGTCAATGCTGTCCAACCCAAGCCACGGCATGACACAGAGCCGCAATCACTCACGAGGAAGGCCACCCAATCGGTCCAACAGCAGGAACCAGGGACCTAACCAGCGACCGAGGTCAGCCACCCCTGCAAGAAGACGATCATGTTACTTCTGTGGAGGCCGACCTCGCACCGGAAGATGACAGTCAGTGCCCTGCGACCGGGAAAACATGCTCAGCTGTGGCAATCTGGACATTTTGCCGGAGCATGTCGATCATCGGGACGGCGCCAAGACTCTCGCTCCCAGGCCAACTATGTACAAGCTGCTCCAGACAATGGCTCCCAGTCAGCAAGCTCCCAGCCCAGTGCTGCACAGGCGAACAACTATGTCACGACGCCAAACTCCGACTACAGCGAAACAGAGTGGGACTACACCTTCTCGGTGTTCCCTAGCGATGACATAGACCACCACCCAGGGTGTCAGTTGCGCAAACCAGGCTGACACAACTACCGACGTGTCAGGTGACTTTAGGCACAAACCGTGCATCCGTTCCCGTAACTGTTGTCATCGACTCAGGGGCCTCAGTTAACATTCTAGACAGTGCTACATACAAGGCTCTCTGTTTGGCGAATCATCAGTTTGCTCAACTGGAAACCCCTCGCACAAGAGTGTTTCCCTATGGAGCGGATAGACCGTTGCCCATAAAAGGTCTATTACGAGCAAACACATGCTACAAGTCAGGAGGAGGAGGAGGAGGAGGAGGCGCGTAAAGCGAGAGGAGAGGAGGTAGACAAGAGGTGTACCTACAGGAGGGGATGGGGTAAAGGAGGAAGAGGAGGAGGAGGTAGACGTGGTAGAGGTAAAGTAAAAGGAAGATGAGGGAAGATAGTGGATAAAGCGGAGGAGGGAGAGGAGGACCAGAGAGAGGAAAAGCATGAGTAGGTGAGAGCTGAAGGAGGAGAAGCACGTGGTTGTCAAGGAGGGGAAAGGATGGAGAAGGTGGTACCTTGCAGAGGGTAAGCTAGCGGAGCAGGGGTAGCAGGAGGATTTGAGCAGGAGCTATATATAGCTAGGAGAAGAAGGAGCTAGGGGATAACATGAATATCTGAATCGATCGAGTGTGTGGAGGAGGCACATGCATGGTAGAGGGGGTACCGTACCTGTCCAAATTTTGTCGGTTGAATATAAATGAACAAAATCATAAAAACCGTGCTTTCTTCTTTTTTCCTTGCTAAAGTAATGGTAATAACGATAATATTATTTTTATTGACCATCCCACTGATCTATATCTAACACGAGGTGGCGCCACATTACACCCGTTAGCGTAGACTGGTACCCGGTCACCGTGCCCGGTCCCACCTCTCGGCTTAGTTACTCGATGGGTTAATCGATGGGATGTCGAGTAATCGAGGTGGGAGCGAGTACCAGTCTACCGATAGCGTAAAAACTAGTGAAGCGTTGTCTATCCTATATTGTTTGTCTATCCTATAACGCAAGGCTATAATAATGGAGGGCAACGAAATAAAGCAGCAGATGTTTGAAGAGCTGCACGAATCGATTAAGAAAGGTAGAATTGCGTATGCTGTCAAAACTCAGTTAGAAAATTACAATATCATTGAAAGACGGAGAATCGTGTCGTGGTAAGTGTAACATGGATTTGGCAACTTTTCGTCAGCAGAACACTGTTGTTATTAAATGTTACTGACTTACTCATTCTGCTGACATTCAATTTCACTGGCTGAGCAGTGCCAGTGGCCCTGAGTCAGTGAGTGGGCAAGATTAGTTTACTTTACTGATTTAGTGATTAGACATGTGCCAGCCAGCTTAGTAAACTGTACTAAACATTTGCTGGCCATAAGCGGCTGGCTTGTTGTTTAGTCGGACATGAGAGATGGTGGGGCTGTCTAGGAGTCGGACACAACCTAGCTCTAGTAGTAGTAGTACTAGTAGTAGTGAGTAGTACTATAGCCAGCGTACAGTTGCCACCAGTGGCAACCGTACGCGGGCTATAGTACTAGAGCTAGACACAACCGGGCTGGCTACCCATGCATCATTGTATGCTGACCCGAGAAATGTACCTACAATGGGAATTTTTATATACTACTACTACTACTAGTTCATACATAGTAGTACAGAATCAAGTTGGAAGAACACATTCAGGGTCATAAATAATAGGCAGTGGCTACGGGTACGCCAGGCGTATCTTAATGTCTCGAGGGGCCCCAGCTCGATTCGCGCGAGCACACGCGGCACGGTTTCGGAGGAGATACGGAAAACGACACTTCGGCTCTTTCTACTATTATATAGTAGATATATAACATTTGATATAATATATCGTGGTCAGGAGAAAATTGAGATTCTATTTTGCTTAATAAGGCATATGAGTAGTTGAGAAGGCAGAGTATAGGATGGGGAGGGGTGGATCGATGAGGTGGAAGAGGAGGAGCTAGGATGAGGAGGAGGAGGGGAATAAGAAGAATGGCAAGTACCGTACTCAGGTAGAGCAGCAGGAGGAGGTAAAAGGAGGAAAAAGAAGTGAGGTAGATGTAAATGGTAGGAGGGGCAGGGGAAGAATTAAATGGACGAGGACGAAGCTATGGAGAGGAGGTAGATGAGGAAGGAGGAGGAAGGGGTAGCTAGAGGGAGGAGGAGGAAGGGGTACTATAGCTAGAGAAGGGGGAAGAGTATGGGAGAGGGTGGAGAATCATGCAGGTACGTGGTAAGGGGAGATATAGAGGAGGAGGGATAGAGGAGGAGCAGGAGCATGCGCAGGAGCAAGAGGGGAACACGGAGGTGGTACGAGGAGGGTGAATGAAGAGGAGAGATAGATGAGAAGGTGGAAGAGCAGGAGGGGAGAGAAAGGGGAAAGGCACGGAGGGAAAGTAGAAGAAATGGGTAGGATTGGAGGAGGGGAGGCGGTAGAAGAAAAAAGATGGTCGAGAAAACGGCCGAGGGAATAGGTAAAGCAGGGTGAGGTGGTAGAGGAGGAGGAGTAGCAGGATAGTGAGGATGAGGAGGAGAAGGAGGATGCGGCGGTAAAGGAGGAAGGAGAGATTGGTGGATGAGGTACATATATGGGTAAGCTAGGCTGCAGGCATGGTAACAGGGAGACGTAGAGGAGGAGGGAGGAGAATGATGACGAGGAGAAAGAAGAGGAGGAGAAGGAGGAGGCGCGTAAAGCGAGGGGAGGGGAGGTAGACAAGAGGTGTACCTACAGGACCTACATGAGGGGATGGAGTAAAGGAGAAAGAGGAGGAGGAGGAGGTAGCGTGGTAGAGGTAAAGGAAAAGGAAGATGAGGGAAGATAGTGGATAAAGCGGAGGATCGAGGACCAGAGAGAGGAAAAGCATGAGTAGGTGAGAGCTGAAGGAGGAGAAGCACGTGGTTGTCAAGGAGGGGAAATGATGGAGAAGGTGGTACCTTGCAGAGGGGAACACGGAGGTGGTACGAGGAGGGTGAATCAAGAGGGGAGATA